AGCTTCGCGATGCTCTTAGCGGCGGTGGTCGGTCTTATCCAGTGTTCGAGAAGCCGGAATCCGCCGGTCTTAAGGCCGCACCCGCGCCGCCTCCGCCGTCGTACATGTTTTACTTCTTGATCAGCGATGGCTCTTCCGTCTCCAGTCTCCAGGTACGGCTACGATTCGTGAAAACATTGAAAACCCAGATGTAAATCTTCAATGAATTGCAAATTCGTGTACTGGGATACACTAAGATTGAGTAGAAACCGTGAATTTGGTTAGAAAATTACGGTTGAATGTTTTGGGAGAAGTTGTAGCGCCACAGGTGTTTGATCAAATGCCAATGAGATATTTTGCAAAAGATACTAACTTTGAAATTTTGTCCTTTTTTTCTCAGGTTGTTGTTGATTCCGCATTGTCCACTTTACCGGCAACTCAGCTTATGTCAATTGGGACATGTATTGTAGCAGAAGGAGTACTGAGACATCCGACAGTGGCTTCTGCAAAACATGCCATTGAACTTAAGGCAGAGGAGCTTCTTCATGTCGGAACAGTTGATCCGGAGAAGTACCCATTGTCCAAGAAACAGCTTCCTCTGCATATGCTTAGAGATTTTTCCCATTTCAGGCCCCGTACCACTACGGTAATGATATATGTTTTTCATATTAGATTTTATATTTCTTAGGAGAATGATGTTATAGCCATCGAGAAAGCTATCTGGTTGAAGAGCAAGCCCAATAATTTTCTCTTCTGATGTGGTTTGCAGGTGGCATCTGTGACCCGAATCCACAGTGCTCTAACATTAGCGACCCACACGTTCTTCGAGTTAAACGGGTTTCAGTATGTTCAAGTACCGGTCATCACCACCACTGACGCTGAAGGATTCGGTGGGATGTTCAGGGTCACTACTCTTTTAGGCAAGACCACTGCTAAGGAGGAAGAGAAACATGCCAAAGAAAAAGATGAAATCAGCCTTGATGCGATAAAGACTGCTATAAAAGAAAAGAGCAAGCGGATCGAGCAACTCAAGAGGACCGAGAGCAACCGGGACGCTTTGGTTGCTGCTGTGCAGGATTTAAAGAAAGCAAGCGATCTTGCAGCACAGATGGAGATGAGACAAAAACCTAGGGCGGGAACTTTGGTGAAACACGATAAATTTGATGTCACGAAAGATTTCTTCGGCCATGAGACATATCTGACTGTTTCTGGGAGGTTTCATCTCGAGAGCTATGCTTGTGCTCTTGGAAAGGTTTATACCTTTGGACCCAGATTCAGAGCTGATAAGATAGACAACGGTAGGCATTTGGCAGAGATGTGGGATGTGGAAACCGAAATGGCTTTCTCAGAGTTGGATGTGAGTTTCCCACTACTTCATGAGATCGATTTTAACCGCAAAAAAACACGAGTTTTAGTAATGTTCTCTAGTTCAGATCGCCTAAGGGTAATGCATAAGAATATTTACCACGTTTCTTTCTATATTACAGGATTCAATGAATTGCGGGGAAGAATTCTTCAGGTTCCTTATCAAATATATTCTGGAAAACCGCTCAGAAGACATGAAATTCATATCTAAACGAGTTGACAAGACCATTGCTAGTCGTCTCGAAGCAGTAGCTTCTAGTCCTCTTTCGAGGCTCTCCTATACCGAAGTGATTAGTCTTCTGCAAAAGGTACGTCTCATATGATTCTCGTCTTTCCATTTGCTATGCTCAATCTTACAATAGCCATATGCATGATCTGTTCATCTGAACAGGCAACCAGTAGGAAATTTGAGACAAAAGCTGACTGGGGCGTTGCTTTGACAGCCGAGCATCTCAGGTAACGTTTCATACATGGTAATCAGTATCGGGTTTTTCTTGGATCATGATTTTCACATCTCTGTTCAATTTATTCTTGCAGTTATCTTACCGACGAGGTCTACAAGGGTCCTGTAACAATATACAATTATCCAAAATCCGTTAAACCATTTTACGTACGTTTGAACGCTGACGAGAAAACTGTAGCAGCCTTTGATCTGGTTGTGCCAAAGGTAAGCGCCGAACTTTCTCACCTGTCCGGCTTCTTTGAAACCCATGTCCCAATCCAGAATGCTTCAAATCTTGAAGTGGGTTTGCAGGTTGGAGTTTTGATCTCTGGGAGCCAAAACGAGGAACGGTTTGAAGTTTTGGATTCAAGGTAAGATCTGCATTGTACTGAACATTTTTGTAGAAAGAGACTTGCGGCGTCATGTTTACATATCGATGTCGTGAGTTTCAGGATCAAGGAGCTTGGATCGGTAAGAGAGCGGTATGAGTGGTACTTGGATCTAAGGAGGCATGGGACAGCAAAGCACTCCGGATTCAGCCTTAGAATGGAGCTCATGCTTCTCTTTGCCACCGGCCTTCCTGATGTTAGAGACGCCGTTCCTTTCCCGAGAAGTTGGGGCAAAGCAAACAACTAATGAACCAGGATCCTACTGGCACCTTGTAAACTTATCTTCTCATTGTATTGGAAGTTCATGTACACTACTATCTTGTAAGGTGTAACCACAGTACCATATACCCAAATAAAAGGAAATTGTTTCAAGGTGCACATGATTTTGTGTTGATTTTTTCATTTGATTTAGATTTTACATTTTGATTAAAGATATTCCTTTTCTATTTTTTTTTATAATTTCCATCGATATTATTCGAATTCAGTTAATTTATTATTAAAAAATTATATTCCAGAATTTCTAGATGTTTGATTTATATATCATTTGTATTGTTTGCTATTTGGCTTTTTAAGTTAAATTCGGACCGAAATTGCCGTAAATAGACGACAAAGACGTTTACCCAGTCAACGGAGGGATACATATTGAATAAATAGTGATGGCAAAAATAAAAAGTTTAGAATAATATTAGATCAGGCTTCGGAAGACTTGAGGAAAACCAAATGTGATGACGTGTCAAAGGTGGAAAGTGTCGGATCATTAAAAATGAACATTAAATGGGATCCTTTGTCCATCAACCAATTCCATGACGAATTTGGTCAGTCTATTTAATTTCATTACGAAATCATGCTTTGACTTGGGTGATTTAATCTATTTCTATTTGTCTCGACGTGCATGTGCCCACGTGTCATTTATGTTTGGTTGAAAGTAACTTTAAAAAAAATTGGGTAGTTAGTAAAGTGATGAAAAGATCGTGGTAGAAGTTTTAAATTTCAAATCTGCAAAAGATTAATAATGGACCGTAATTGCATAATCTAATTATAAAAAAAATCTGAAAATGTAGAAAAAATACACGAGCGAGCTCCTGCTATTATTGTAGAAAATAAATAGACGGAGAATTTAGAAAATAAATATACCCAGTAAACCCAAAATTACCAAATTAGCCCTCATAGTTACGCTCGTCTTCCTCGACCCTGTGTTTCCTGCCGCTTTCTCTCCGGCTGAGCTCCCGCCGCCGGCGGTTGGCGAAGGAGCCGGGCTCGGTGACGCTGTTTCACCGGAGAATCTCAGCACGCTTTTCGAGTTGAGGTTCTGTGGAGCAAACGAGTGCTTCTCCGGCTGACCGTTGGTGACCTTCCCGCCGATCTGCCACACCTGGTTCACCTTCTCCGATCCTGCCGGAACTTTCACCGACGCGAAGATCGCGAGCTTGTCACCGCCGTCTATCGACTCGGCGCGTAGATCCCACGCGTCGAAGGAAAGCTTCCCTTCGTTGATGGCGCCATAACCGCTTATGTTGTAGGTCTTCACGACGGGGACACCGCTTTTAGATCGGAAGGCGATGAAGGCCTGAGATCCGATCATTCCACCCGCCATCGGATTGATCGCCCAAGCGATCCAACCTCCGGATTTCTCCGGAGCAGCGACGAAGGCGACGGAGAGAGAGGAATTGGAGGCATTGTAGGAGTAATGGAGGTACGAATCGAGCACCGGGAGGTCGAGGCAAGACGCGTACGGAGATTTTCCGGCTGCGGAGGTAAGTTTCTGGGAGGAGCATGTGAGTGACAGGGACGGCGAGGTCAGCGAAGCCCAGAAGGTGATGGCTAAGAGGAAGATGAGATGAAACGCCATTGCTAACCCTACGCGAGCACTCCGGTTCGTGGTAGTGATGATATCGACAAGTGAATGAGAGGATATAAATAAAGGCCGTTGGGGGAGATGATACAGTACTTCTCTATACAGCGTGTGGATCGGAACAACCATTAATATACTGACACGTGGAATTATTGACTTTCAAGTGGTCACGTTCACGATGAGAATGAGAATAACATAAAGGCGAGAGTGCAAGAAGAAAATTTGGTGGAGCATGTGGGGAGTGCGTGTTCTTGTGGAAGTTGACTGCTAATTTCTGATTCTTTTATTTATATATTTTCACTCGCAAATGCTAATTATATTGATTAATATGGTAATCACCAGTGAATTATAATTTTGTTACTGAAGCTAAAAAAATCGAACTATCTATTACTAATATTGTTATATGAATTTATTGTAAACTATAAATATATGGTATTCACTGGATTAAATCTCCGATAAGTCTTAACTGTGGATTTGCTCCATATATCGTGGAACATGGATATTTGCATTTTCAATTACCATATCTCATTGTTGGGTTTGATGAAAAAAAATCATGATACAAAAACATGTCGTCTCTGCGTATTGCACTATGTATAAACTTGAATTATTTTATGACATAAGATGTGTGTTTTTTTTGGTCTTCTGATTAGTGGTGTTGATTTTTTATTCTTACATTTTTAAAAATTGAGTTGCCAACCAGTTCGGTAACCAACTTATATTTATCTAATTATCCGAAAAATCTTTTAAAATTATATAAAAAATAATAATTTAAAATCTATATAACAATAATTTAAAATTCATTCAAAATAACATAAAATATTGACATAACAATCTATAAAATCATATCCAAGTTAAGAAAATAAAACAAAAAATATACACTAACACCAACATATCATGAATTTATCATCAGTTTCACCTTAATCTTTACCTTCATTTCCACTTGTATTTTCAATTTTTATAACAAAAAGATATTTTTGTACCATCTCGTGAACTGACTCGCGAGCCAACCAAACTAGTTTAGATTCGTAACGAGCCGACTCGTTAAATCCGTTTTTATTTGGTCTTCTATTTTTTCAGTTCGGCTCGCCAAAAAAAGCTAGTCGGCTTATTTTTGACATCTCTACGAATAGTGGGCAATTATAGTATTCGGTCAATATTCAGGGTTAGAAGTTGGAAATAAATATCAACCATCATCGCCCACGCTTCCCTCCTTTTTTTTTTTTTTGCTTTTTACCCAAACTTTGAAAAACATACTTTTCCCCCTTTTTCGGCGCGACTTTGAATATATGCCGATTCCAGTATTTTTTTCTTTGCGTCTTTCACTCCTTGTTTTCTTTTTGTTGTCGCAATTTTTTTTTTCTCATTTGTAACGTATGGAGTCTAATTGACTTTTACTTTTTTTTTTCCTCTATATCACCCGAGAATCCATATTAGTGGGAAATTATAAATACGATATAGCATATACAAAAATAATATTTACTCAATTTCTCGTGTCTTTCATGATATATACCTTAATTTAATTATAAGTGTATATATATAACCTTAAAATAAAATGAAAGGGGGTGATACTATTAGTATTGTTATTATTTAAACAATAACCGAAAAATCCGAGAGAATTACTTATTTCGTAAACAATGAATATTTTATTTTTATTACTACTATATATGGTCATGTATTTCCGGTATTTGTTTGCTTCGTAAACGATCGTGTTTCACGGACCGATGCGACGACGAGACTGCTTGCGTCAGCGTGATGCAATACATGACGTTCTTTGTAATGCCATGTACATGGTCAAAAATCGGTTAAAGCCCTTCTTCTTCATGTGATGTGGTTCCTTAAAAATTCAACTCCATCATGGGTATATTTATATTAAATGTATTTAATATATATTTTTCTTAATAATAATATGCAGCATAAATATCTACACAGATGATTACATGTCTCAAAATTATAAATCACATGTTTTAAAATACATTTTATACGATCGATTCTTTCGATATAATTTAGATTTTAAGTAAAGAAATAATGTGAAAATGTATTATGGATATTATGATATTTTTTCATATTAAAATTTTATTTTTTATAAATATAAATATATATATATATAGATAGAGATATATATGTAATTTCTGGATCAAAATGATCCATATACAAAGGTTAGTGCCGGATCTAGGGTGGATATAGTTGGGCCGAAGGTTCGGGAACCATGGTTATCAAAAAAAAAATATCATGTTTACTTATCAATTTTTTTTTTTGCCTTGGATCGTTGGATGTTTAAAAGTGAAAAATGGAGTTGGGCCGATTATTCAGTCAAACCTATTCACTATTGGGCCGTAAAATGGGCTTACATTATATATAACTCACTGTTGGTCTGGGCCAATGTTAACTCAGTACGCATATAAAATGTCGCCTTAAAACTCAACTTCATTTTCCTCTCTCGGTTAGGGTTTTGGTTGAGCAGACGCGGAGCTTCTTCCTCCAGGTACGTTTGCTTGTTTGCGTGCTGTAATTTCAATCCGAGCGACGGGTTTCTCGATATTTTGTCTCGTGTCGGTGAATATCATTGAAAAATCTTCACGGGCGACGATTTGAACCCCGCCTAATCCTATATCTTTTCACATTTCTGCGATGATAATGCTAGATTGTTTGTTCTTGGGGTTTTTTGTATAGATTTTGAGATTTTATTACTGTAACTAGGATAGTATAGTCGTGGTTTGTGCTTTCGTGTTAGTGTATTGTGTTTGTTCGTAATGGTTTAGAAAGGACTCTGTATTTTCTACGCATTTTTTTTTTGTGATTTGGGTTTCGTTTAGGAATGAACCTGCGAAACTTTTCGATTTTAGCACAGTTGCGTTCTTTGATTGCTTCCAGATTGTTTACGTTCAGTTTTGAATTTGTTGTTTCATTTCTGTCCGATTGTGTGCAATTTCTATTTTGTAGCCGCATTATTCTTATTTCAAAATCTCGCAATCTGTGTTTAGGAGAAAAATGGCGGTACCGTTGCTGAGCAAGAAGATTATTAAGAAGCGTGTCAAGAAGTTCAAGAGGCCTCAGAGTGACCGAAAGATTTCTGTTAAGGTTTGTTGTCTGATTTTGTCATGTCGAGCTTGCTGAGAGAGAAACCTATGTCATTTTGTAACTCAATGACTCTTTTAGGTTTCAGACCCTGAACCCGGGATCAGCTGTTCCTCTTACTGCGGTTTTCTGAACCCTTTGTTTTGATATATTGACTTTGCTTACGGTTGGGTGTTGTCGGTTACCTATTCTTCACCATATAGATTGCTTTTCGTTGATTCTGGGATCGTTTTCTTGCCATACAGATCAAATCCTCTTGTAGTTCTTTGTAAACTTACATGCAAAAACCTGAGAGTGTGCTTGATTCAGCAGTGGTTACACCTTGATTAATGTTCTATTGAATTGCAGGAAAACTGGAGAAGGCCAAAGGGTATCGATTCACGTGTTAGGAGAAAGTTCAAGGGATGCACGCTGATGCCCAACATTGGTTACGGATCAGACAAGAAGACCCGCCACTATCTTCCCAATGGATTCAAGAAGTTTGTTGTTCACAACGCCAGTGAGCTCGAGCTTCTGATGATGCACAACAGGTACAACTCACCATACCGGCTCTTCTTGAGACGTCAATGTTTACTCAATCTATTTGTGTTCTTGAATCTACTGCTTTGTCTTCTCACATTTGGTTCGATGTCTGTCTGAATTGGTGGTTGGTTTGGTTACAGGACTTACTGTGCCGAGATCGCTCACAATGTCTCCACCAAGAAGAGGAAGGAGATCGTGGAGCGTGCTGCCCAGTTGGACGTTGTCGTAACGAACAGGCTGGCTAGGTTGCGCAGCCAAGAAGATGAGTGAAATATTCTTTCTTATGCTGTCATATCTTATGTTTGCTACTTTATTACATTCCAGGATTTTAAAGTTACATGCTTTCAGATGTCTGTTTTGGACAAGATTTTGATTCTCTTTGAACTCCATCGTCTTCCCTTGAAACCAGAGGTTTTGGACAAGATTATGCAGATGACGCATAATTGAAATGGTGGTGGTGCCATGTTTTGTCCGTTAGTGTGTGACCTGCTTTCACATGGTACCTTGTTCCTCCCAACTATTTTGGTTTCGGTAATAATATGCAATGAAATATCCACGGCCTCACCTCACTCCCCCAATCATTGATCATTTAGACAATGACATTGTTTTTTGTCCTTTTCTTTTCTAAATATTATTGCAATCAGTGTTTCTCTCGATATGTGTTTATCTGTCTTAAAGGGTTTTTGTCTGTACGCCTTTAAGGTGAAAAAAAAGCATCTTTTTCTAATTTGGAAATTAGTGTCATATAAGAGATGCAACTATTGCGCATGTGGCTTTTGGAACTGGCTTCTAAAGATGTTAACTTCCACAACTCCATCTCCTCAATTATTGTATATGATTATCCTGTTGAATTTGGTGTTGTTTTCTTTGTTCTTATCATCTCCTTCCTCTCTCTCTTACAAAATGGAGTTGAGGGTGGGGACAATGAAGAAATGGACAAAACATAGAAAGCAGGCATGTTTCCATGTGTGCCAACAGATGAGCTTTCTGCACTTCCCCATTCCGAGTGGGATGAAATCGAATCGAGAAAGAAACTAAACTATATATACCCCCAGGATGAGGTGAGAGGGAACACGACGATTGATGTACGGACACGTGGTTCATCCAGCATGCATTGCATGCATAAGACAGACTATTCCCGAGTTCTTGTCATACCCAAAAAGTCTACGACCAAAAGAAACCCTAGTTGTGCAAATTTTATATCATGTCTTTCTTGTTTAATTTTCCATTATATATACACGCCTGTATGTATGGACTGTCGGTGTCCGTGATTAGATTTCATGAAATATTAACCTGTGTTAATGGTAACAATGATTTAAACTTTAACCCTAACCTTTTCTGCATAAAATGATAAGGCGGCAACCGAAGTCATGTTCGTAATAATATGTTGTCTGGTACTCGTCATCATGGTCGATCGGTCTATGAGATTGGATTTCGTAAATTTTCGCGATTAATCAGTCTACACTGTTATCCACGTGGATTATTAGCTTGGGTTTTCATTTGATGGGTAATGTTAAAATAACATCTGTAAACAACCCTCTCAACGCATACGATTAAAACATGATAGGGAAACGTTTTTCTATTATTGATAATGGGAATATATAGCAAAATACAATAGAATATTCTAGACCTAATATGTAAGATAAATCATAATCATATCAATGATAATATTCTAATAATAATATCTTCTTATAAGTGGTTGTAGCCTTTTGCCACTCGTCTCCTTCGGCGCAGTTAGAAATCTATTTGTTGCCAATACCGTTACGGGATACAACCGTTGGCAGGGCGCTTGGTTAGGGTTTACTCGGATTTCTTGGACAAATTATATTTGAAGAACTTGTTCCTTGTCTTTTGATCAGCAACATACAGATCTCCGATTCATCGTTGAATTCTATAGAATTCGACAATAACAGTGTTAAAAATGAAACAAGCTAAAAAAACACAGCTCAAGATTTGTTCCATGAGCTCAAAGTACGAATCTTTAAGAGGGGGGTTGATTAAGACCTTCCAACACACAGCCATTGTATCAAGAGACACACCTCGTGAACGATATGCATATATATATATATATATATATATATATCAAACTTATTTAAGTTTTAAAAAGCGAAGTAGCAATGGATAAACCAAAGGAAACAGGTAATGAGAAAAGGAAAGGTTATGGGGTATTTATTTATATTAATATTAGAAAGAGAAGAGAAGAGAAAAGGGTAGGGCTGTGTGACTGTGAGTAATGGGGACAAAAGTTGTCTGTGTCCTAATCATATCATATTATATTTATTATTCATCTCCCTTATTATATAATCTCTCCTTTATATATATATATATAAAGCTTGTGTCGGCAGGCAGCCCCATTAACCCTTTAACAAAGCCATCAAAATTAGTAACATCTTATCTTTTTTTATACAAATTATGAGAAGAAGAATAAAAAACTGACTATATATATATATATGTTATTTATTTATTGAAAGTTTGAATATAGAAACACTGACAACAATAAAGTGTATCGGAGTATATATTTTATTGAGATGCGATTATTCTTACCTCTTTTAGATATTCTATTTTTTTTTATCTATTCATAATATCTTTAAATTTATTCTGCGTTGTTAAAGATACATAAGTAAAATATAAACTCATTTTCATCTTTATCCATCTTTAGGAAAATGATAATGATTTTGTATTTTTTTTTAAATTCCAATACATTCAATTCTGTGTGTAAATTCTATTTTCCTCAACGAACAAACGCAGTCGTGCATTGACGACTCCATTCACTCGATTAATTCGCATTATTTATCCAAAAATAAGTCAATATTCTATTTTCAATTATAAGAAACGATTATTTTTCCTGAAAAAAGATCAAGTGTTTGTGGCGCATATATATATATATGTATATACTTACAAATCGCGTATATAATTATGATATATGTTAATTAATGCGTGCGAAAAAAAGGAAAAAATAAAATAAAAAGAGAGCTCGGAAGATTTTCTACTATTTCTGGTCATTGAAGACTTTTTCACATTCACCCAAAAGAAATCATCAGAAACTTATGGCCGGACCACTTTCCCATAATTCACGCAACCTTCCAACAATTTGTCACATTACAAAAAAAATAAATCCTTATTCAAATATAAAAAGGGGCATTATATATGGAAAAGTAAACCCTCTTATTCTTCTTCTTATGGGTAAAAGAGTGAAAGAATCAAATTATTCCTTTTTTTCCAATTTTGTTCTATTTTTATATTCTCTGCAGATATTATCAAGATTCATATTTATTATTTAATAAAAATAAACAAAAAAGAAAAAGAAAGATTCAATTCTAAGCAGATGATAAATATTTCACCACATTTTGTAATATGATAATATCAATGCATAAATTAAGTAATCATCTGTTTCTATATATATGTTATGAAGAACCTGATTCTATTTTCCTGAAAGAGTGGAAAGAAGATCGGCGGAAGCTTCAGAAACAGGACATGGCAGCTTTTACATATCTTTGTCTTTATACACATATGTAAGAAACAGACGAGAGAAAGAACTGTTACTTGTTCAGCAAGGCACCATTACTGGTCCATGGAAGCTCGAAGGAGGACGTGATTTGATTACTGACACCAAAGGCTTCTTTTATTACACCAAAATATTCAAAGAAAAAAACTATCCAGATCCTAAAGATATGAGAATTTACACACACAAAAGAAGAAGATCTAAGAACCCACAAGAGAAACCGGAATTCAACAAGAGCAAGATCGAGGGAATTTACATTGCGAACTTAGGGTTGGCCGGAAAATGCATTTCTTCTTATGCGGTGTGAGTGAGATTCACGGCCCTTCTCACTCTGCCCAGGATGCCATTGGCTTTCCTCTGCGCCCTAGAGGTACCTTCACGCGCAAGTTTCGTCATCGTCCCGTGATCTTTCTCCTCTTCCCTTATCTCCTTCCACTTTGTCCTGTCACTGAAACATATGGAGTGCAGTATAGCGACCGCGTTCTCTTTGTTCCTCTCGCACTTGCTCTCCCTTATTATCTTCAGAAGCCAAGAAACAGCCTCGAGCTCACTCAATTCCTCGACCGCCTTCCAATGGCTGACGAGCATTGCGAGTATCGCCAAAAGCTCATCCACGTACAACCCATCTGAAATCTTCCTACCTATAACCCTAACTGCTCCTTCCCTCACGGCCCTTGCCCTGTTCTCGTGTGCAATACACAGGTTGAAGATTGCCGCTGCAACGTCTTTGGTAGCCATTGGATGCCCTTCTTCTAAGAGATTGACCAACGGCTTCAGGGCTCCAGATTTCCCTATGACGATTTTGTTTGAATCGAGGGCTGAGAGAGTGAAGATTGCCGCAGCTGCATTGCTTCTCGTTGCAATCGTTCCACGCCTCAGTGAATCCATCAGCAGAGGAATCGCATTAGGGTTTTCGCAAACAAGTATCTTGTTGTTGTCATGTATGGATATGTTCAGCAACGTCGTGATCACATCCTCTTGAAGCTGCTCATCAGGGTTAGGATTCGGGCCCTTCAACGGACTAAGCAAGCGGGTTATTTCGACAGGAGAATCACCGAAAAGCGCTCGGAACTCCGGTCCACGCTTCGTCAGGAGACGTAGTTCCTTGGCAGCCGATTTTTTATCAGAAAGGTCTGGAGACGAGATTTTAGCGAGCAAGGACTGGAAAATCTGGCGATCAGATCTTGTGACGGCTTCTTCTTGGTTGACAAGGTGGGGATGAATGAGATTCGACGAATCTATCCCAACGTTCTGGCACCATTTGGAGATCATTTCCCCGATTAGGACATTTGGGGTTAAGCCTGTGTGGGACAGAACTTGTTGAGTCTTCGGACACGTCCTGTTCCCGGAACTCAGCCACTTCTGGATGAATGGTCTGTCGAATGTCTGCAAACACAGTCGGATTTCCATTACACACAGAGATTTCGTCGGATATGCTTTCCTTTTTGTATTCGAGAGTAAAATCAGGCGTTTCTTGGCAACCAAACAGGAGCTTTATGATGAGTTATAAATGAAACGTATCAATCAAAATCCAGGATTTTGTTTCCTAGAATTCAAGAATTTCAAAACTTCGGGACTGTTTGGATACCGGGAAACCAGACAAGAGAAAAGGGTTTCCCAGATTTTCTCATCAAATTCCAACAGTTTTACATATTTTCTCCGATTTGCTCAGACAACTAAAGAAACGAAAGAGCGATTTTCCTCGGATTTTACCAAACAGAACCCTTTTAAGCATACCGAAACAACCAGAAAATTTAAGAAAAAAACAATCAAAACCCTAAAATCGAAGAACACAAAATGCGAAGCTCACTGACCTGACCGGAGACCAAAACAACGGGATCCCGCATGAGCTCGCTGGAGAGAGGGCAAAGGAACTCCTCAGGAAACGACACAGTTTCGAGCATGTCGAGAGAGGAAGACTTACCCATCTTCTTCCTCACCGTCATCTCCTTCAAATCCGACAAAGCAACCTGCAACTGATCGATTGTCTGAACCCCCAAATCGTCGTCTCCTTCATCCTCGAGAATGATTCTCACCAGCTTCTGCATCTCCTTCTTCAGTTCCTTCGCCTTCACCATCTCCGTCGGGTCCGATTCGAACACCCCCGTCCTCGCCATCCTCCGCCCTCCGATCTCCACCACCGAACGAACGGATTATGTTGCGCGATGATTAATTCTCCGAGTTATTTTTTAATTTTGTTTCTCTCATTTATTTATTTATTTTATTTTATTTCTCTCGCTGAGAGAGAGCGGGGGTATATAAGGACGAGAGGACAGTGGAAGTGTTTTGTGCCATTGCCACGTCGGTAATTATTTATTTAAAATTTAAAAACACGTAGGATCAATTTGTGACCAAGTTGTTTGAATTATTTAAATTATATATGTAATGTAACTGCATGATTATATTATAAATTTTCATAAGAACGTAAATAAATAAATATATATATATATATATATTAATATGTATTATCTTTTCTACAATTTTTAAAACATGTGTTAATTTTAATTTATCAAATGTTATTTTACGAAATTTTCTAATAATGGTTTGTTTACTCAATGTTATCTTTTTACAATAATGGCTTATTAAATGATAAGGGTTTATTATTTATACTAGGTAAAGACCCGCGCGTTGCGCGAGTTATTCTTTTTGCATATGTTGATTTTTTTTATAAAATTTGATTATATAAATATTGTTAAAATAATATAAATTTTCATACATACATACATACATATAATTTTTTATTTGAATGATTCAATTTAAATGTAAAATCTCTTATATAGATTCCTGTTACCACTATATTTTCACATTTTATTTTAAAATCTTATCATTTAGTTATATCATAATGTATTCATAATTTTATCTTTTAATTTATCTATTACTATGTTACAAAATCATAAATCTAATCTAATCTAAAATAAATTAAAATTTTATTTAAAATAATAATTTTTTTTAACTTCTCTTATTTTAATTCAAATGAGAAGATTTAAGATGTTATTCAAGTGAATAGGGAATACATTACGCATACCGAATAAAGTATTATTAATTAATCTCATTATATATATATATAAATGTTATGTATAATTCAGTGCTCACGTTTATGATTAAAATAAATAAATAAATAAATCAAATTAATAATTGAATAAATAAATAAATAACAAAATTAATTAATAAATATATATAGATACATATATAATGATGAATACTTGGCTTTTTCCTTATCCACCGATTTTCTCATTATGTTGTATATCTTTTTTCTATTTAAAGTGATGATATGTATGAACCATTATAACATGAAAACTAAATACTCGTGTGAAATTGTTATAAATCAGAAGTAACATTAGACCCTAAAACATCAGAAATTTTATTATACAATTATATCCATTTGTTTGGACTGAACATCAATACGATTCTTACCATATATATTTTTTTACATCTTAAATTGGCCAATGCAGTAAATATTCTATCAAAAGACCGAAAAATGTATGTGGCTTAAGCATTGCACACAAACAAACATGTTATACCGTGTGTGTGTATATATATATTATATTATTATTGGCCCTTGGACACCCACAAAAATGTTAATGAAGATGAAGAAGAAGACATGGTAGAGAGAGGTAAAGACATGCATAGGCAAACAACCTATCCTTCCACCTTCATATAGCATATCATACAATTATTTATATGTACACTCAAATATACATATATATATATATGAGTATATAAGATAAGAGGAATAAGTGTGCATAACTCACTGCTAATTTATGTATTACATGTTATAGGTGAATATCTGAGGTGTTATATAAGACTTTTCTCTCAGTTTTTATCTGAACGCATATTAGTCTTATTCATACTTCACTCTTAATATCCATACAAATCTCAAAGTTTATCAATAAGAAATCTTTCAAAAATACAAATCCATTCACAAGTGAAACAATCACTTACATAAAATTGAAAACTCTTATTCCGACATGTGATGGATGAGGAAACTACGATGACAAAGATGGGATTGACCGATGCTTGAAGGGTGTATTTGGAAATTTTAGTTCATGTTGAGGAAATCTGTGACCAATACTTTCCTCTAACTCCGAAGAGAAATTTAAACCTTGTTTTTCTTTTCTTTTTTTTTTGAAATGCATACGTGTATATGTTACAATTATATAAAATAAAGATGCATAAAAGATAAGAATAAAATACAATAAAAATTATTGGGTATAGAACAAAATATCTGATGAATGGACATTCTTCCATATAAATAGAATATAGAATATATTAAAAACATATTGATGAAACTCTAAAGCTATATAACTCATTAGATTTCTGGAATATAGCATTTTATATACGTTGTTGTATCGAACAGTAGATACAGTAGATATAGTAGATATAGGTAGTAAATCTGCAGTCAGATTGTGACTTAAACTTTTCACATTTTTCATCAGACCCATGTTTCCCTTCTAGAATAATTAGATAATAATAAGAATGCAAATGAACGTTTTTTCATTTATTTAGATAAAATGGTATAGGCCTCAAAATTATATTACATATTTTACTGTTTTATATATATACATTGTTACACATATATACACACGTTACATATTTTATACACATCCAAAATTATGTGTTACATATATATACATAATATATATTCCATTTTTAATGATTCACATAAAAAAAGCAATTCGTATAAAGGTATAAATATATATACATATATATACATATATATTAAAAAGTAATAAAATAAAAAAAATAAAAATATATATACATATGCATACATATATATGTATACATACATATATACAAACATACATATACATATATACAAACACATTCATATATGCATATATTAATATACACACAAAAATATACAATGTAAATACATATATATATATATACATACATATATATATATATATATATAAATACATATATGTTTATTTTATAATTTTTAATGTTTATATTTTATTTTGTTACCAGATTTATATAGACAATACAAAAATATAAAAAGTAAAATATATACATACATATACACATACAAATATAAACACACATATATACAATTAAAACATATAAAATGAAAAGTAAAAATAAATAAAAAATATATACATGTATATGCTTATATATATATATATAAACATCCATTTAAACATGTATACATATACAAATATAAATACATTTATGTACAAACATATATATTCATAGATATACATATATACATAAATACATATATACATATATATAAATATATACATACATATATTTAGTTTTCCTTTTCACTGGTTTTTTATATTAATGTTGGTTTTGTTTATTTTGTAAAAATGACACAAAACATTATAAAAAATGCACCTAACAGTTCATAAAAACAGATAGATATGCATTGACCCTAGATGATAAATATATCTACATATATATATATATATATATATATATATTGTAACATATATATAACATTATAAAAAATGCACCTAACATTTCATTTTGTAACATGTATATTGGAATCAATCGGAATTGGTTTGGTAGAATATACTTTTGTTCATCTCTGGTGTTGCATCAACATCATTTTTTTATATGATTTAAAAAGTATCAGAATTAAAATAATTCATATTCATAAAAGTATACTGGAGCATAATTTTAATAGAATGGATATTTGAAATTCGAATCGAAAACGAATGTAAAAGTCTAAAAATAAAGATGAAATATAGAATATTTCATTGAAATAAAAATTTTGTTTGTGTTGTGGTTTTTTTCCAAGATTTTTGTATATGAAATATAGCTAATTTTTTGAAATTTATTGTATGTATCGTCCTGCAATTATTAATATTGTAATAAAATATTTTTAGATAAAATTAGTAATACAAACTTTTAACAAAAATTTAATTTTAATTAATTGTTGGAAATTTGTTTCTATTTTTTTTCAATATTAGATCTTAAATCGCCGACAAATACGTATGAGACATTGAATAATTGATGTTTCAAAGTGAAATTATATGACCACTTTATTTTGGAAAGTCAATTGTTTATGAAACATAACAAACTTAAAAAATTTAAAATATGTAAAAAAGTACATTAGTTTATATAACTCAAACAGTGTAATGATACAGAGAAGCGAATAATTAACATCAATTTGTTTTGGATTAATAAGATGTGTATTTGACACCAAACAGAACAATTTTGATAAATGAGACACAATGCTCAGAAACCAACAGGCATGTTCCACATAGTTCCTTTATATATACCGTTTTTTCCCAGATTTTCATCCTCTTCACTATGATCCTGGCTTCATCATTGTCCTTAAAGTAGCTATGCCCCCTCGTCACCACCTGTACCATAAAAGAATAATTCAAGCCATGTGTGAAACATTTGAACTCTATACGAAATTGAATCCATTTTCTGTACCATAGGTATCCTCAAAAACCAGATGTATGAAACCTGCCTTCAGCGTCTACTTCAACCTCTTGTCCATTGTGTATGCAGACGAAAATAGTAAAAGAAATTTTGAGGTTCTCTTTATATTATACAAGTCTCGAGTGACAACAAAATGAGGTATGAGATTACCTTTTCAGTTCATTCTGATGATCATCGGAAAACACGAGAACCCTAGTGATGTTTGTTACCCCACGTTTTTTCAGTCAACGAAATCCTTTCCTGAAATGTATGTGCCGTTTCCAGTCAACTACATTGTCGGATATCTAACTTTAGCCCATATATTCAGAAAGGCATTCACCATCAATGACGATCCCAGAAACAACAACTTCAATATATATATATAAACAACTATAGATATTCCTTATGCGAAACCATCATAGTTCACACTGATGGTGGTTTCGGACGTGAAGAATCAGATGCTCGAACAGTGAATGTCCAAATCTCACCATCCTGCATCAAAACCAAACAAACTATGGCCAGAATCGTAGGCCGCAAAACTAAAGGAGAAGAAAAAACCTCTGGGTTAGCCGAAGCCACGCCACCGAGATCGCCCATGTGAATCTCGCTGCCCTCAGTGTCCATAATGATTGCCAGCGCACACCCTTTCTCTTCGTTAAGCCTCCGGACACTGCAGTTGACATCGCGGTGCCAATCTCTTCTTCCGTGGCACATATTGATGCGGTACACGTTCATGCCGCCGACGGCGAGCGCCTCTAGCTGCTCCAACCCACAAGTCGCAGGTCCGATCGTGTAGATCAGCTTCGTCCTCCTCGTGCTTTGGAACCCATTATCCTTTAGCTCCACCTCAGTCACCGCATCGAATTCAATCCCCGCCGTGGGAACAACCGCGAACGATTTCCCTTCCGTCTTCAACGACCCTTTTCCGTTTTCGGAGGGAAGCATCCGCAACGACGATTCAAGATCCGGAGAATGCGACGACCAGACTCTAATGGCAACGTATTTGGGGGTGGAGGCAGAAAATCGGCGAATGGATGAGGAGGAGGAGAACAGGTGGCGTTGAACATCGGTTCGGATCTTCGGGGACTGTGAGTGCCCGAAGAAGGGTCACATTGGATAGTCTAAACGGATAGAACAGGGCAGCTAAAATGATAATACTGAACAGGCAGCAAGATCAATGTCATTTATTCTAATAATAATTATCGGCATTAGTGGATTAGTGGGAATCGTAACGTTTTTTCCATTAGTAGGCTATTTATTTATATTTATATATTTATTATTTTTTATAAAATTTAATGATATAAATGTTGCTTAATATAATTAATTAAGAAAAAACTAAATAATAAAATGTGGTATTAGTGGACTAAATATCACGTTCACAATAAGTTATTTTTTGTTTTAATTTTGTATTTAATATTTTGTACTATTAAATATTAATAATATATTAAACTAATGTTAGAATAGGTTTTTTTATATGATAAACTATTTACTATTTTTTTATTATTAAATCTTAATATTATTTAAACTAATGTTAAAATATTTTTTTAAAAGAAGATTTTTGTATTTTTTTAAAATATAATAAAGATGAGACATGTACTTTTTTTAATTATATATTCTATTGATAATTTTTATGTATTTATATATAATAAATTTGCATAATAAAAATATAAATATTTTAAACAGAATTAGTTATACCAATAGACACATATAGGTGTTAACGGTTATAAATAAAGATTTGGAATAAAAAAATTTAAAATAAAAATTGCGATGTAGATAATGAGTTAGATGAGGTGTACTCACCAAATCTCTTTAAACTTCTTTATTAATATATATAGATTTGGTGGAATTGAAAATTGATTTGGAATAGGCAATATCATTTCATTTTTGATATTCTATTTTAAGTGTTGAGATTTTGAAACATTAAGACAAAAATATCTTAACAAAAATAACAGATATCTATTTCTCAGTGTTAGAAATAATTAATAACATTAAAACAGGTAAAGGATAAAAATGAATCGCGTCTAAAACAGATTTAAATTAGATGATTTTACCCAACTATTGTACGTTCATATAGTATCTTTGAATACTAAAATTAATTTAAATTTGGTCCAAAATATCTTATTATTATTTAAAAAATTGTATACACTAGTCAAAGTTGAAATTAATTCATTGTAAAAACTGGTGTTTTATCTTTTCCAATACAGCGAATACGTAGAGGTGTTTTAAAGATATTCTCGATTTAAGTTGGCTATGTTGTTTAGTAATTTTTTCGAAGTCAGTCGTATATCTAATGGTTTTAAATAAATTTTTTGTCACATTAATATGCTTTATTTTAAAATTTTTGTTCTTGAGATGTGATAGATTGGCGAGTCATTTAAATTATATTTTTAATGTTGTTTAAAATGTGGGCTAATTATTTAATTTGCGACGTTAAATCCTCGAATGGAAAATAATAAAAATAATTATAGTAGAGTGGGACACTGAGAGCGAGAGAACAGCTGGCTTTTGCGCGTCCATTGTTTTTCACCCAAACACATCATGCATCATATATATACGTGTGTATGTATATATACACACATTAATTAAATTCGTTCTGTTCATATCATTTCCACTCATCAGTAATTTCTCTATCTATATGGACATTAATTAAAATCGTTATTTCAATTTTAGCATTATCAACCATTAATCTAACCAAAGTTTTATATGTATATACACACGTATGTTCTGTCCGAACAGTACAAGAAGTCAATACAAATTCATAGGTTGGAATTTTTTGCTTTTAAAAGGAATAGAAAAAAAAAGGCCAAATCTGATGGAGATGAGTAGACGGACAAAGAACTTTGTCGGGTACCCACGTGGCGGAAGAAGGAAGCTTTCATCTTTTCCATGCAAGGACCATGTGTTTTGTCACGTGTCTTAGTTCTCGCCCTCCACGAAATCCATCATCATATTTTCTTTATTTCAAAAAAAATTAACTGATTTTCTTGACAATATCTAAAGATTCGACTCGTTGTACCGCATCGGTTGCGGTTGCGGCTGGCGGGGGTTTGATAGCGATTATGAATCATAAGTACTGACTGGTTGATAAGTTGCTGTTGGCAGCGATTGCAGATGGATGCGGTTAGAAGTGAATGGTTCGTTGCGATTACGATTGCGTTTTGATAGAAATTATAAAAAATATATTATTTTAAAATAATTTTTTATAATAATTTTAATTAAATTTTTAGTATCATTTGATAAAAATTATTTACTAAATTTATAATAATTAAATAATAAATTTAAAATATAAATATTATCAATTTAATTTATTTTTAAGTAAAAATATAATTTTATTATAAAAATTATTAAAAATAATCATTATTAAATCTAAAAAGTATACTATTATACTTTTTTTATTAAAATATAATACTAAAAATAATATCAAATCATAACACTAAACAAAATCACCATATATATATATATATATATATTAGAGTTTTATATAATTTTTAATGAGTATATTTTAGTTTTTTGTCAAAACATCGTAAACCGCTACCAAAACGCAAGTTAGAAACTGCAATTAGAAAACACAAGTTTGGTTGCGGTTGTGGTTCAACCAGTTAGTTTTTCAATCGTTTGCAACCGTCAAAAATCGCAATCGCTCTGTTTGCGGATAGCGGCGGTGCAACTACTCGGCCCCTAAATCACTCCAGCATACGTTGAAATACCAAACTGATGATAACTTCCAATTTAAAAAAAAAAACTAAAGATGTCCGTAAATTTTTAAACGTCCATTCGATATCTATGCACAATATGTATAATTTTGGCATCTGCATACTATTAAGCAACTGGAGTATTTGGAGATATTAATTTCTCTTATGAAAAAATTTATTTGGGAAAAATATAAAGAACTTCACGGAATTAATTTACTCATTTGAACCATTTTTGTACGTCTTCATAAAGGGCAAAATGGAATACTCGATTATAATATGATACAGTATTATTATCTATTAAAAAAAACATGATAAGTAATGTTATAGTGTGACTAAAATACCCTCGTTTTTATTTTTAGGTGCGGCATAATAATAAATTAAGAAAATTTAAATAAAGTTAGTTCGGTCAAAATACACTTTATATTTTAATATCCACCAAGGTCGATCGTGACAAAATCATTATCTTAGCAGCCCTAAATTGGCGCAAAATATAAAAATTCAAAACACATATAATACGTCTAGAAAAGGGTTACGAATAATCAAATTATCATCGACAAGACAATAAATCACGGTATTGGCTACAAACATTGCAATTTGCAGATCAATACATTAGCAATTTAATTAGTTACGAATAATTTGATAAAATAATATCGTATTAAATTATCGAGAGTAATATTTATAATAAAAAGTAAAATATAATTTCTTTGTCACTATACGAATTCACGATTTCATTTCAAATATTACACTATAAACCAGATAAGAAAAATGTGTTGGTTAATACAATCAAAATTGTTGACAAAAACATGTCATCATTATTCTCTTTATTTACAAAAATAACCATAAATATGAAAATAAAATTTAAAACAATTTATATGAAAATTTTGTATTAAAACGGGATTTTCAAATTAACTATTAATTATAATCAAATACTAATGATCATTCGTGTTCTGATTATTTTTTTCCCATTTTATCGTTCAGCTGAAGAAGACCCATCATGGCTTCACCCATCATCATCATCATCATCATCATCATCATCGGTTTGTATCAATAATACACACACAAACGCGCGCATATGCAAATTGGATGTCACAAGGAATGTGGTGCGAGCGTATGCATCATACACCGCGGAGGGTGGGGTCCACTCACTCTAAGAATCTTACGCTGCCAACTCGGATTCGTCAGCAACGTGGGACCTGTGGTCCTACGTGTCGTCTTCTGGTGACTGGTGATCCTACCATGTTTGATGGTGTCATGATATGCAGTTTTCGTCTTATTGTTTCCGTATCTCATATGAAATCATTATTACCACGTCCACGAAATTTCATTAAAAATTTAAAATCGATAATAAAATAAAATACAACACTTACCCATTTCTGGTTAGTAGAGGCATAATAATACGCTACTTCCTGGTAATTCAGTTCTAAAAATATAGGGTTATAAAATAAAATTATGTGACAAAAACTATAAATAGTC